GGGCCGGGTTGTGGAGCAGGGCCCCGGTCTCAGCCCTGCCACCTTTGCCGAGCAGCTCCACCCCCGGGAAGCTGACGCCCCGGGCGGTGTTTGCATTCACCTGCCTCCTGTGCACGCAGGCCCGGCGGGGCCGGCTCCAGGGCCAGCCCCACACCGCAGCCCTCCTGCCCCTTCCCTGCCTCGGGCTGCGCTCCTCGCCCCGCCGCGGGTGCCGGCACCCCGAGGCGAGCGGCACCGGCCCAGCTTCACCCCGGGCCAGCCGGGAGATGGCCACGGCCACCACTGCACCTGGCACCTTCCCTCTGTGCGCGGCGGGGCAGCGGGAAGCAGGGGGCAAGGCAAAGGGGAGGCCAGACACCCCCTCGGCCCTCACTCCTTCTCCTTCCCCAGGGCTAGTGCCCAACTGGCAGCCTGGGCTGGACCCCAGCTCCTGGCGCATCAGATTGCATCTGCCATTGCAACCCCCGCTTCAGGTTGGAAACTCCTGATCTACAGCTTTGAAGGGAGACTGATCCCCCAGGACAGTGAGGAAAAGGCTGGGAAGGAGATGAGAACCCCTCCTGGAGATGGGAAGCAGCATGGAGCTGAGCAAAACCTGTCTCAGACCAGGCTGTGTCCTGCTTGACCCTACGCACAGAGGTGACAGGGAAGAGTGCCAAGGACCTGTGGAGGCCGTTGTAACAAGTCACTGAGCTCTGATGATCGAGGAAGAGGACACCAAAACACCTGCTCATAATACCTCTGGATCAGGCCCTGGAAGAGCTCCTGTTATCCTGTCTGTTAGCAATGGCCTCTGGCACGCGTACACTGTCTAGTGATCCTCCGTGGCACTGGTCTAATCAAGCTCATGTTCAAACAGCAGGAGCTGCTGGCATCTAAGCTTGGATCAACTTATCCTGGGAAGAGCCCCAACAGCCATCAGCAGCAATCACTGCTGCTGTGGTGATACCCAGCCCCTGCAGCCCACGCTGCTGCCCTAGGAAATGCTGGGTGGGAGCCCCGTGGTGCAGCCTAATCGGTGTCAGTCACACGCACACTCATTGCCATAACATCTGCCAGGGGACACAGCCAATGTCCTACTGACATACGCTGGCAGAGCATACTGCTTTAGCATTGCCATGCTGTGTCCCCGAAGGACTGCGTAGTAAAAAACAAGCAGGGATGCAGCGTAGTAGTGTAACCTTGTTTCCAAGTTTTATTTTTCTTTAAGAAGCTGGTCCTGTGATGCAACCCCCTGATCAAAGCCCCTCATTTCTAGCCAGCAGTGAAAGGAAAAGGTTATGAAACTGTTAAGCAATTTACTGCGTCAAGTTGCAGCACTGTGCCAGTGCTGCACAAAGTGTCCAGCCCAAACACACAGCCTGGCAGAGGAGCAAAGTGGTGAGGGGGATACTGGGAAGACTTTGTGCTCACGCAGAGAAGTCCCGTATTACGTAGGCAATTCATGTGTTATGTCTCGCCTCCTCTTTGATATTCCCTAAGAAACTCTTTGTTTTGCCAGTCAGACCACAAAAGTTCCTTGAAAGGCAGAGTAGTGGTGACAGCAGGGAGAACAAGCATCACAGCCCCAGCAACAAGTAAACAGATTGAGGTGGCAGTTGAGGGAAATCAGCCACCCCATTTCCGTACATCGGGGACTTCCTGAGGGGTTTTTTTCTGAAGCAATGACTTGGCATTCAGTGAGGGTGGTAAAACTGGTTTAAACAGTCACCACCCTGACTGCCCCCCTCCCCCGGGTAAGTTTGTTCCCACTATTGCTGCAGGGTGTCAACATCCGCATTTGAGATGGAGGAATTGATCTGGCTGAAAACTCCCTCCCTCCCGGCTTTCCCCTGGGCTATTTTCCATCTGGATCTGAGCTCCTGTTTAGCTCACCACCCAGCTAGGCAAGCAGTTGTGACAGCATGAGGCAGGGATTGGTGCTGGGGCACATGTGAGCAGCTGCGGATAGTGCTGACGCTTAAGCCAGCGTTGCCCAGAGAAGGTATTTCCCCCAGCCAGGATTTCACAGCATTGTGCTTTTCAGAAGACACAGGTCCCATCGTTTATATGAGATTTCATTATATTTATTTAAATTAAGGTGGTTTGGGGGTGAACTGGGGAATATATTTTGGATGAGTGGAGGTGGAAGAACAAACTTTACAAAATTCTTGGCTTTGTGGGCTCTCTGCCACATGTGCAGAGTTACAGCCAAGATAGGATACAGTAAAGTTTGTTCGGGTGGTTATTACGACAGTAATCTACTCATAAGCAAAAGTTGTCTTCCTCTTCCTCCTCAACCCAGTCAGAGGGTGTGAAAAGGTATGTGTTCGTGCAGCAAGGGGGTGGTTGCAGGGAAAGTTGGCTGTGGTTTGCTGCTGCCTTTGTGCTTGCAATGGTTTATCTGGCTTCAGCCAGCAGCACTATTGCTGAGCCAGCCAGGAGCCCAGCGCTAGCTTACACCGCAGTTTGCAAGTGTGGATGAGTGCTCTCTGCAACCTCAAAATATCTCCTCTGTGCCTCTCAGCATGGAAAAGGCTGAAAATAGCATGTCTTCCGTAATAGTCCAAGTGAGGGGGATGCATTCAGGACCGGTGGCTTCCTTGTCCCCTCTGGAGGGAGGGAGGCTTGAGACACATCCTGGTTTATCCATCATCACGTTAAATCCAGGGGCTGAACCAGTGCAGTCGGTAGGAGGAATATGTAAAAACAATCATTTGCATATTTGAGCGAGGTACCTCTATGAACTCTTATGACTGTTTACTGTACTTTACCTGGACTATAACAAAATGCCACAGAAAGCATGGTCTAAACTGCATGTGAAGTACTTGACTTCAGCTGCCACTCACAATACCACAAGCAACCCTCTCTCAATTTCCAAATTACTCCTGATAGCTTCTGGCCTCAGTAACAACTGATGGTCAAGCAATAGCAAAGCCACTCATCTGTAAGACCAGAGGAATATTTGGCATCTACATGGACAAAACACTCTTTTTACAATTAATATTAAAATCTTTTTAACTGCTGTTTGTTGTGCTCATTTAATTGTCCTTAGCAAACTGGAATCCAGTTGATGTGGGCACTCACACAGGAGTTACTTGCATGGAAGCCACCCTGCTTAAGAGACAGAACAGGTGCTGGTGTCAACATGGAAAATATTGGCACTGTGTTCCCAAGCAACTGTATTAGACGCATATAAGAGCTTATTGTTGTATGGTCAATGAGAACCTTTATCTCGGTTTTGAGCCATAAACGAACCAGGAGCGTCATCAAGACTGATGGCCATTAAGTAAGCAAATAGTTATTTGTTTTCTTGTAATACCTCACAGCTGTTACAGAAGATTTCTTTATAACTTAGTATCCTGGAGCATCTATGAAAACTGCTGGTGTGGGTTGACTACCGTGCCTGTTCCCTTCGAGCAAAGGCACAGAGCACTGCTGGAGTCCTGTGGCAATGGCACCAGACTGATGTTTTCAAGTTTGCTCACTGCAATGGCCAGCATGGCCACCAAGTGTAGAGAGAGTCTCGATACGCAGCTGCAGAGTGACTTCACCAGCCAGCACGAGTTTTGCCCCCGTAAAGCGATTAGGCTCAACAGGCAGTGGAGAAGCAGGAGAGTACCAGGGTACTGCTGCAGAAAGCTGACCTACCCTCCTCACAGGTGGAGTGTGACAGCAAAGAACGTGGACGTCTCTATAGCTCCCTGCCTCCATACAAGGAAGCCTCAGTGTGTACAAAAGCAAGCCCTTATCTCTCGTCACTGTATGCACGAGTCATAGCACAGATGTCTTCTGAGGGACAAAAAGTTGAGGCTTTGATAAGAACAATCATGTGTAAAGCCCACTGAGGACTTTGAGCACTGGGAAGTTGCTAGTACCTACACCCTACCTGTTTGCAGCTATACTTGCAAGGTAAGAACAGAGTGATGGGTGAGGATAAAAGCAATAAAAAGGGAAGGCTTAAGGACAGGTAAAACTGGAGTCTACACATTGACTTTTCACAATGAATGAATCAAAATTACTTTGAAATATACATAGAAAAAAAACTTCAAACACCTTTCAATAGTACAAAAAGAGACAAAAGCCTGTCCCGTAGGTGAAAAGTTATTTATTGTGGCAGTGTCACCTTCACTCCTACTGTTGATCTTGCCAGACTGGTGATTCCTGTAGAGAAACAGGTCTTTAGAAGTAAATGCACAGCGATAATTTCTTATAGCCCTGTCTATACTGTTTCTTGTCTAAATATTTGTAGGTTAAATTAATAAAGCATATGCCTGTGGGGGCTAAGGCTAGGCTGTGGATATTTTTAAGAAAGGATGGCTCAACCTATCAGGCTAGGAAATCCATCTCCTCCGACTGCTGCGATGCTTTCTTCCTTCAAACAAAGCCTCTGCTCCAGTTTACACATACAAAAGGCTGATGCGTTTTTCTGCCTACAGAGAGAGACCTGGCTCTCAAATGAAACACCTGCCAGGGAGGAAAAGGGGTGCTGCGAGAAGGGTCAGCAGGGCTTGAACTGTCCTCGCAGCACCCGTGGATCTGTCACTGTCCAGACGGGGCTTTGTGTCAGTCTGTGAAACAGGCTGGGAGCTGGGCACATCTAAGGGCAGTGCTGCTTTGAAAGGGCTTGGAGGTGCAGAGGAGAGGGGAACTCGATAAGGAACTGAGCAGCCCTTTGATTTCTTCGGGGTTACAGCCACGCAGTTATTTTCTAAGGAAAATAACCTGACTCTGTTGATCAAGTAGATGGCACTGTGATATCAAAGCTAATGAGGAAAGACAAGCAAGCAAGCGAGGCACAGATAAAAGGACAGGAAGATGAATCTTCATTATTGTTATGTTT